TGACATCAGCACAGATCCAGGACTGTTGGTCATGGCCAGCACAACACACGGATCTGGGACTGGGGCTGCCCAGCTGCCACACACGTGTCATTAAATCCACAGCAGTGCCTAAGAGCCAGCAGATGCTCTCTGAGCACAGAAAGGAAAGGCAGAGAGGAAGATCAAACCCTGCACAATGATTGCTTTTACATTCACAGAATTTTTCTTCTCTTTGTTAGCCTGCCAAAGAGAAGGTGAAATGTTGAAATGCTGGGGTTAAAGTGCAGCAATACCGGTCTGAAATCAAGCAAAGCTTCTTAATCTCAGAATAGTCAGGCACTGGAATGGACTGCTGAGGAAAAGTCAGAATCACCATCATTGGAAATCTTTAAGAGTTTAGACAAGCTTCTAGGAAACACTACATGTAGGTGATCCTTCAAGGTCACTTCTAGAAACACTGAAACCACAAGACTTTCTCCATAAGCACATCTCTGATCACACAGCCACTGCACTATTTTGATGGACTGCAGCATCTTTTTTTAAGATTTGCTGGAACAAGAAAAAAAAACCCAAAAGCAACCACAGCCAGCATGCAGGGAGCAGCAGTCTCCGGGCTGCAGGAACAGTCACTGGACTTATTTTTAGAAAGTGGAATTGGTACAACTTCCTCTTCGATCCTGACTCCATCAGCTCTTCTGCCTGCTCTTTGTGTCTTTGCTTAACTAACGTGGAGAGAGCAGAAGTTTCTTCTCCCTTATGGGTGCCACTTGGGCAGGAAAGGCAAGGGCAGGGACACAGCCAGGGCAGGCAGGGAGGCTCCCACAGCTGGGAGGAGCAGAGGGAACACCAGCTGTCCCCCCACTCGCTGCTCACACAACCCCAGCTCCCAGTGCTGCCAACGTGGGGGGACAGGGCTCGGCGTGTGGGAGGAGGCAGAGCTGCTCCAAACGGGAAGGGAGAGAGGCCCAGGAGCAGGGATAAGGTGTGGCCATGGCACGGGGAGGCGTTCCAGCACTGCCTTGTCCAGGGACCGTGGCTCACTCGGTGGAGAAACGCCGGGCTTCGCCCTGTGCAGCCTCTGCCAACACTGAACTCCACACAAACATCCTCCAGGTCCCCCCAGGCACAAATCCCACTTTTCCCAGCAGGACACTTCCCTGGAGTCATGCATCAACAGTATTCTGGGGAGATCAGAAGGTGCACCTATTCCCCTCACCCCCAAGCAAACTGCAGCATGTGTCACTCCAGCAAGGGGTGAACCAAACTTGTTCCCTTGTCACAACACCCAGGAAAAAGGACCTGGCACAGTGTCCAGTGAAACCCTGGAAGGGCCAGGAGAGGGGAGGAATAGCATGAAACTCAATGGGCAAAGATTGAGCTTCACAAATTTCCACTGGCATCTCTTTCTACAGTTTCCGCTGCTGAAAACAAACCCAAGCCATGGGGAGGTTTCTGGACTGTTCACACTGTCAGTCTGGAAAACAAGCTCACTGAAGCTGGGTAACTCAGAGCTCACTGAAGCTGGGTAACTCAG